ATTAACTGCCTGAATGCTTGTGGGTGAATGTTGGATTGCTTGAATTGGAACAATTTATCAAATCCCCGATTTAGCCTACTTGCGAGTAGCAAACTTCAAACTGTTTTCAAAGAAACGAACATGCAATGTTTTGTTCCAACTTAGGGGATCTAGTCTATACTTGTATGCTATGCGCATCACATAGTAATTCTAGGTTAATAACCGAAATAAGAACACACGCGTTTTCAAAAACAAAATATCATGCTTAGTACAGGCCGATCTTTGATCGGGCGAGCGGGGGTGCTCATTGCATGACCTTCTCCTCTCGTACCCAAGTTCTCGAGATGAGGCAACTTTGGTGATGACGAACACGTGGCCTTAGGCACGAGTCAAGGATTTCCTAAATTCTCCCAAAATAAAATATTTAGGTGGCGACTCTGTATCTGGCAAAGCAATCCATGTTTGGCACTTCTTTCTTAAAATCAGATTTCCAAAACGATTTGCCGGATTTGGACTCTTTGGTGATTTATCAGTCTTGGATTGCACTTTACGAGATCAGATTAAGAACTGTGACATTTGAGTCCGAATTGTAGTAAGCCCAAATGAACAAAACGGGATCCCCCCCCCGGGACGTTCGGGCGCGTCTACATGCTCGAGCGTCATTTCTTATGCTCGAGCAGAATAACTTTTTGTGTCTGGTGCTCGAGTGTCACTTCTTGCGCTCGAGCGGACTGTGCGTATATCAGTTTGCGAAAATGTCTTTTTACACACTTTTTCAGATCTATTTCTCTTAAAAACCCTAAAGTTGAGACCCTCTCTCTCTAAAACTTACATTCTCTCTACTTTTTCACCTAGATTTAGTGATCTCTCCACCCTTGTGCCTTTGTTAAAAAGATAGAGCACGTCATGGGCTCTCTTTTCATCTGAACAAAAATGGGTTTCAGTGTTTTTGAAGTCTCTCCTTTGCTTTGCTTGTCTTTTCACCTTGAGGTAAGGACTTTCTACACTCTTCTATGAGTTTTAACTTGGTTATTTGTTGATAGGTAAGAAATGTTGAGACTTGTTGTGATCTTGGACAAACCTAGAGTTTGCGTTAAAATCAAAATAGGGGTTTTTCGAATTAACATGATGGAAATGGTTATGCGAGTAGATATGAGCTTATGTTGTGTTAAGTTGGTTGATTTTGGTATTTGGCATGAGATTGGGAAAAATAGGAGGTTTTGCCCTACTAAAATTCTTGAATAATTATTTTGTACAAATTATAAAATTGGTGTTGCGAATATGAAATTGGATGGATAATTATATAAATGGTGGAATTAGATATGCATTATCTCGCACCTATGGAAATTTGGATAATTTATCTATTGCAAATATTGCATATCTGTTTAGAAATATCTGTTTTGGACTATCAGTGGAGGGTAGCCATGATTGTTGTAGAAATTGCATGTGGATTAGGCGAATTGAAACTAATCTCTTAGCCATTATCATTGAATGTGATTATGATGTGTATACATTGTACATGTATGATGCTTGGGAGGAGAAAGGGAATGCACTTCATGTTTGGAAGAAGAAATGTAATGAACTTTATTAAACTAAGTTGGCCCATGTGTCCAGGGTGAAAGTCTCGAAAATCGCGTGTATACATAAGTGCCGATTCCCGCGGACGAAATTTTCATAAAATGACAAGTGAATGTATTTGTATGATAATTGTATTGGTTGGAGACCTGTGAGGTGTATCCTCTGTTTGATTGGTTAAATGTAGTAAGAAATAAATTGAGATGTAAGTTGGGTGTAACATGGTGTTGGAAAAGGTTGCAAAAGACCTGTCATTTGGGAATTGAACATGTGCATCATACTTATATCTTTGTTAATATTCATATATTGTATTAGATTGTTTCTACTGGGTTTTGGCTCATCCTACTTGGGAAACTATTTTCAAGTGCTGGTGATATGCCTCTTCCGAGGACTTAGCTTGGGAGGGCTAAGGAGCTGAAGGCTCTATTTTGTTGTTTTGTATTTAGTAGTTATACAAGCCTAGGGCTTTATTTGTATTGAGTTTCTGACTCGTTTTGTTGTAACCAAGCATTGTCTTGGAAAGTTGTAAGCCCGTAGGACATTGATTTCGTTGATCATTTAGTTTGGTGCCATATGCTATAGATTCAGGGTAGAGCTTATGAATGCGTGATGCATGTGCCCTTTTTGTAAATTGACTCTGATTAATGAAAGCCTAATACTCTGTTTATGTCATTTTGTATTAGTCTTTATTGTTAAATTATTGTATTATTTTCGGGGCATTACAAGCTACAACTAGTGCAACTAATAACAAGAATGCAAATTAGTTGCAGTCAAGGACAAGGCCCAATTGTCTTTTGTACATGAACTGCTATGACCTACTGTTTTTTGCTAGGGTTAACAATGTTGATCAATTTTTTGTAGTTACACTTTGTGACTAGATGTGCTTATCATTTTGCTAGTTTGTAATCACTTTTGTTGATAAACTATTGTATTTATTTTGTCTTTTGTTGGTAAACCTCGTCTTTTGTTGGTGAACAATGTGATTGCCTTTTGTTGTTTAATGAATGAATATTGACCAAGTGTCTTTGTTTTATTCTTGTTGCCTTTTGGTATTGTCTTGTTCTGTTGTTGGAAATGCCAGTCAATATTACCAAATCACAACACATTATACATTTGTATGTAATCTAATTACAGTCTAACATTGATCACAAAGCTCACAAAATTCAATACATAATCTTCAAATAGCATTGTAATTCACAAAAATACAAAACCCATTTCATTTCAGCCATTCATACAACATTACACATGGTTATCATTGCATATGCTATTCTAGCATTGTTCACAAAACTAACACAAATAATAATATCATAATATATGCTGGTACACTAATTAGTATACCAATTAGTATGTGTACCATCATTGATACATAAAAGAGTATTGTAGTTACATTAGGAAATTTTTTTATTTAATATAATACATATAATATCTTTGTTTACTTTCTATGATAGTGAGAGTAATTAACCCTATTTAATGCATTTTCAACAACACTCATAATTTTTTTTAAAAAAAAAATCAATTAATTGTAATATTTTTAAAAAATTGTAAATAAATAATAAACTTTATACAAATTAATAATTAAAAATATTAATTTTTTTATGGTTTTATAATAATTTTTTAAACTGACAAATAATTTCCTTTAAAAAAAAAATCAAAAAAAAAAAGTGATTTAGTGAATAAATCTATATCTATATATTATATAAGTTAAAGGGTGTTTTCGTGAGAAGCATTGTGAGAATTCTAAAATCTCATAATAAATTTATAAATTTATTGAATTAAAAAATAAATTTAAAAAATAATATTGGCTAATCCATTAAAACAATAGTTTTTAAAATATTAATAATTCTATAATTTATAGTTTTCAAAAGAAAAGATTAAAAAAAATAAAATCTATATCTTTCCAATCTGATCCTCTCCTACTGATTTTTATTTTTTTAAAAAAAATTAAAACTTGTTTCTAACTATATTACTATATTATTCATACAATATATAACTACTCTCAAATCTTTAAAATTCATGATAAAAATTAAGAACTTTAAAAATATTTTGATTTAATTACACACATTTTATTTTTGGGAGATTTATTTGAAAATTATTTCTCAAGTGTTTGTATCTTAATTAGTCCATAAGATACTCTTGTATTCCAGTAAGTCCAACATTTGATCTAACAAATCTTAATTCTCATATTTTAAGTATTTTATGAACATTTTTACCTTTACAAATATTTTTTGAACGGTTAACAATTTGGTAATGTGAACATTCATATTTTGCGATGTGAATATTCACATTGACGTGTAAATGTTCACATTGATAGTATGAACATTCACATTGATGGTGTAAACATTCATATTGACAATGTGAACATTCACATTAACGGCGTGAACATTTACATTACGGAACATTCGCCTATAAATGTGAATATTATTAGGGATATTTTGATAACTATATCACTCATAAGACTTATTAGAATATAAGAAAATAATGTGAATTAAATGGAGCATAAGTAGGTGAAATGGGATTTATGAAAAAGTGCCCCTTAATTTTTTTTATACACTTTTTTTTTTGATTTGTTTTGTACACTTATATGTATTAATATTTATGCCTGAATTATAAATTTTTTAACACATGTGATGGGTGCAAAAAGAAATTAGGTGTGTATAATTATAAGCACCCTTCCTATTAGCCACAGTCATTGATTTTGTTTATAAAAAAATAATAATAATAATATCTCATCAATTTAATTCTTTAGTTAATGAATTTTCACACTACCAAAAGACAATTTTGTTAGTGTTTTTTATAATAGTAAATTCATTTCACAAATAATTAATTATTTTTAAAATATTAAAACATTTTACATGAAAATTTGTATTAAATAAAAATTTAATAAAATTTAAATTGAAAAAAAATGATTTGTTTTGAGACTTCACGTCTTTGATCAAGTTCTATACTAAAAATAAAATTTATGAACTAACTTAATTTGGTCTTAAGTAATTTTTTCAGATGTAAATATAATTTAATATTAGACATATTTTAAGAATAAATATATAATTTCATAATTGAAGTTTTAAAATATCTATATAATAAGGTACAAAGATTTTTAAAAATATATTAGAGACAACTGTCTTACTTGAACATTTTCATGATTATAATTCATTTGTCTATTTAAATAAATGGCTGAGATAACTCCTTAGATATATATCAATATATATCTGGACTTACTTCCCGCCCAAAGACTGAGCTTCCTACTTACCCACGTCTTCTCACCTTCCCGCTTGCCCATGTCTCCCCTCCCTTTATCTTTATCCCTCTCCCTTCTCTGTTCTCACCCACCACATTCCCTCTTTATCTCTCTGTGATCTGCAAGCTATGGAACTCTCTCAAGCTCTGTAACGAAACGATCTGAGCTCTCCAACACAGGTATGTAAATATCTCTCTCTCTCATCTCTCTCTATGTGTAATTGGTCTTTATGCCTCTCCCTTCTCTGTTCTCACCCACCCCATTCCCTCTTTATCTCTACTCTCTCAAGCTCTGTAACGATCTGCAATCTATCAAACGATCTGAGCTCTCCAACACAGGTATGTAAGTATCTCTCTCTCTCTCTCTCTCTCCGCCTAATACTGATTTTGTCGATTTGATGTTACTGGTTAGCGGATTTGCACTTGTGGTTTGCTTCCAATTTGAAAATTTGTTTGATATCCTATATTCCCAATTTTTACTACTGAGTTGTTAGTGTTTGGGTTGTCAGGGTAGTAGTAGTATTCATTAAATGTACTTTTATCTCTCAATGCATGTCATTGGTTTCTATGCAGTTTGTGTGTATCTTCCCTTCTTTATTTGGTAAGCATTTCTATATCCAAAAACTATGCTCTTTTTTTGTTTCTATATCCAAAGATTTAATGATGAGCTTATCTGAGAAGTTTGACCCAAAATTATCCAAACCCGATAGCAGAATGGTTTTGTTTGGATCACAATTAAAGACACAAATCCTTCCTCTGCACCCTCTCTGTTTTTCTTTTCCCACTGAATTTCTAAATCACCGGTTGATATGTATATCAAAATGAGGTATTGTCAGTTGGGTTTCTCCTTCGGGTTATCGCCATCTTTCGGGAAGAAGAAATCTCAATTTGGGTCTGCAAATTACGGCCTACAAAACTCAAACATTCCTAGATTGGGTCTCTCTTTGCAATGAAATGGAGTTTTTGGGGTATTATATTTGAGTGCCTGAATCTGAGGACAGCCCATATATTGGAGAGTTGCTTTATTCAGAGTTGTTGTGATGTTTTGAGGTTCTCTGTTGCAAAAAAAGAAAAATGGGTTTTGTGCCATTTTCTTTATTTTCACAGAAGAGATAATGGAGAAGACATGGGAGTAAAGTCCCTTATCATATTTGTAACTATTCTAAAAAAAAAACATTTGTTTTTTCATATGTTTGTTTTGAAGTGTACGACGAAAGAAGCACCACCACCTCTTTTAAATTTTCTAATTTTAATTAACTGTGTTTTTTTATAGTTTTATCTATGATTTGTTGTGATGTTTCAGTTCTTTTGGTATTTTCAGTTCAATTTTATTTGGACTGTCATTCTCTCTCTCAATTTGGTTTATTTCCTGTCTTTGTTGATGTTGTATGGCAACAGTGGTTTTAGTAATTGAGAGTGCAGAAGGCTGAGTCTAACATTGTGCTTAATTTGTCACCTGAAAACAGTCAGAATGGAAAGTTCAACTATGGTTATGCAAGCTCCCCTGGAAAAAGGTCTACAATGGAAGATTTTTATGAGACAAGAATCGATGGTGTGGATGGAGAGATAGTTGGTCTCTTTGGAGTTTTTGATGGTGTGTATTTCTCTTTCTCTCTGCCATCCACATAACCTTTGGTTTCCTTGAAGAAATAATGTTATTGATGCATAGTAGACTATGTTTGCTAAATGTGAATAATTATAAGTTATATTTGATATTGAAGTACTCATAAAGGATTCTACATACAGTTCCTCATGCAAATATGTCTCTATCTCTGTTCGTCTGTTGTCTATTCTCTCTTTCTCTCTCAATGATTGAATAAATGGATTACTTTTATAAAAAAATGTTTCTGGTGGTTGCATAAGCATTCACCTATTGGCTTGTGATCAATTTAAATACTGCATCAGTTCAGGAGTTTTGTTGATGTTGTATGGCGACTGTGGTTTTAGTAATTGAAGGAATTTATACTTCTTTGCAATGTTATAGTTCTTTCCGAAAAATGAGAGTGCAGAAGACTGAGTCTAACATTGTGCTTAATTTGTCACCTGAAGACAGTCAGAATGGAAAGTTCAACTATGGTTATGCAAGCTCCCCTGGAAAAAGGTCTACAATGGAAGATTTTTATGAGACAAGAATTGATGGTTTGGATGGAGAGATAGTTGGTCTCTTTGGAGTTTTTGATGGTGTGTATTTCTCTCTCTCTCTGCCATCCACATAACCTTTGGTTTCCTCGAAGAAATAATGTTATTGATGCATAGTAGACTATGTTTGCTAAATGTGAATAATTATAAGTTATATTTGTTTTTCAACATGAATGATTATGGCTTCATCATAGAAAGGTCAATTTTTGCACTTTTAATAGCCATTCTTTTTTTTCTTTTTTCTTTTTTTTTGTGTAGATGTTTCCCCAGTTTCATTTTGTTGAAGTATTATAATAGCAGTTAACAACTAGAGTAATTGGTTGGTACCATTCACATCCTCACATCACCGTTCTTCCTTCCCATGTTGGTAAGTGTCAATTAACAACGTAATGTTTTATGTGAATATCTAAATGTTTCTAAATATAAAATGTGTTGGTCGAACATTTCAATGCTTTCATTCATTCTTCATGTTTGGGGCTTGATTTGAATCCTTTTCTTTTTAATTTTCTGCCAGTAGTTCTATTATTGGCTACTTAAATAAGATCTGCTAAATCTTTATGTTTTCTTCAGATGTGCAGACGCAAGCCATGTATCAACTTCTAGATTCTGGGTTCATTGGACTGATATTTTCATGTTTTAGTGAAGATGTGCATAAGGTTTGTGGTAGTTACTGACAAGTCAAAAGGAAATTTTATAAAAATACGTGGAAGCATGGTTATTTTTAAAATATTCTGGGATTTTCAGGTTGGAAGAATCCAAGTTATTGCTTTCCAGTCCTTGGATGGCAAGCAGAATCATATGTTGAGAGCACTTCCTGTGAGAGGTTCCATTTTTTAACTGAATCGACAGTTGGGTTTTCTTGAGTTGTCCATTTCATGGGTTTGTGCTGCTGGGTTTTCTGGTTTGGGTTCATTCTGTTCTGTGCCTCCCAACGAAGTTGTTTTCAGTGATCAAGATGGTATTACCATTGTTCTCTTTGTTCTTTCCTTTTTTATTGCATTTCTGGTCACTTAATAGACATGAAATTATCAGTTCTGTGGTCTTGCCTCTTATTAGTTCTATCCTTATATGGGTTTAACTCCATTTTTACTATCATCAATCCCCTGTGTCACATAAACTTGTATCATAACCATTGAATTATGCTTTCATCAGCCTCTTATATGTATATATTGGTGCTTTCCTTATTGTGAAACAATAATTTGAGAGAGTGATAGAGAATAGAGAGAGAGAGAGAAATATTGAATTGTTCAGTTGTTGTATATCTGTATAATTACAAGGAGATGTACACCTCTCTTTTATAGAGAGGAAAAGAGACATAGGGTGCCTTAGCACCGAAAGCATAAAGGAAAGAGGGAACAACAATTATGAAAGCATAAACATAATGATAGACTACAATGATGACTAACACTACTAATATACAATATTAATATACAATAATATACTAACAGTATCAGTGCTATTGCCTACACTATAAAATTGGGATTGGGTTTGGGTGGTAGAGATTGAATTGATGAAGTGTGGGGTCCACATATGAAATGAATCTGAGCTATAGATGTGAAATTCTGGGTATTTTCTGGGTTTTTATGTCTACGTCTGTAGCATTACTGTAATGTAATATATTAAAAATGCTTCTTTGCCTTTGTATGTTCAATTTATTGTTCTATGGTTCTGATTTTCTTTACCCATTTTCCCAACTGCATTTTCCTGACAGCAAGCTTGTCTATTTGGCGAAATGATTATTAATGTTTCTTTCCATTTGCTTTACATGATGTTAAGATCTCATTCTGATTTCGGGTATATTTTTGTTACTTGTAGTAGCAGTGCGAGAACAGAGAGCTGCTTCTGCAACAGCGGTTGGCTCGACAGTTGATGATTCTTCACCCCCGACATAGTTCTCCCAAAGGACAAAGTCGAACCTCTTGGTCTTCACATCCAGCATATCCCTCTGGAAGATGGAGCAGTTGGCCCAGACAAGAATTCATCACCAACTGAAACCGAGTTTCCTTCAGAAGACAAGGTCAAGATGGGTCCAAGTGTTGAACACCAGTTCATTCCGAGCTTCAATGGCTGGTCTCCTCTGCACCAAAACAACAAACAGGACAGGGCTGCATCTGAGAATCTCTCTGCGTTGAGAGCTGCCCCCGATGAGGGTATTGTTGTTTCGCTGCAGTTGGGTGACAATGAGCCCCCTAAGAGAAGGCGCTCAGATCCCCTGACAGGTACATGAAAGGGAAAATGAGTTTTAGCTTGGAGTGGTAAATCTGAGGGTCCATTTGGATAGTTGTGAAAATCTTTTGAGTTCATAGCACAACGGTTCAGCTTATTGTATGGATGGTATGCTGTGTTGTTGTAACTTTCTTACTATTGACTGATACAAATGTACCAGGAGTGTTGCTTGTTTAAGTTGCAGTGAATTAATAGTTGGACTGTAAATTATTTTAGCAATTTAATTCTGTCCAACCAAACCGTGTTGTCCTTTTGAGATTTATATGTGCTGAATGCATACTAATATGCAGTGTGATCTATTTCAACCATGAGATTAAACATGCTCATTTATTCAAACCATTCATGAAATTTTCATAAACCCTTATAATTAATATTATTTTTGGGATTTATGCATCTGCATAAATTTATAGGGCCACAGTTGTCAATTTACAAAATCGTCGTTAATCCATATAATTTATAGTATTTACAAGAAAAATTAATATTTTGGGTTCTCAAAACATATTTTAAATATTAAGGTGTAGGTACAGAGATGGATTTTTTTTTTTTTTGAAATAAAAAGATATTGATGAGGTAATGAGATGGAAGTTTGGGCAAATACATGTTTGAAGACATGTTATTGACACATCTTCTGTAAAGCATATATATTCTGGAAAGTTTCGATCCACTTTTTTTTTTATAAAGTTTTAACTCACTCTTTTGGCGTATGATAATATAATGTTTGTTTTTCTTATGTAGTTAGAATTTGATTGGCAACAGTAACACTAACTGGTGTGCATTTTAATTTTAATTTCTTTTAAATTGCAGAGTATTGGCTGGTGTGCATTATTTGATATTTAATTTTTTTTTTTCATATTTGATTTGTTTGGAATTGTAGAGTGTAGTCTATTAAATATATTTTTATAATTACATTTTAATCTTAAATTTAAATAGTGTTACGATTACAATTATATTATAATCCTAACATTATTTACACCGTGCCTTCATGTACAAACATACGCTAGTAAATAAATATGCCAAAAATGTAAAAATATTCATAATATATTTATTGATTTAAAAAAAAAAGTGTGTTAAGTGATCACAGATTGGGTATGATGAAGATAATTCTTCAAGAATTTAATTGTTGGCATAAAAATTGATCTTAATCTAACTTTTAAATTACTTTTAATGTTTAATGTCATTACTATCTCTCAAATTAAATCCTAATATTCAAAACCTAAGAAATTATAATATAATTTAAACATAAAATTTAAATTGATCATTACTAACTATTTATATTAATTGATTGATCAAAATTGTAAATCAGTTCCAAAAATGGTTAGAATAATACCCATATTTTAGGTTGACTTAGATAGTTTTTTCACACATAAATACACTTAATTATTCATCTAATAATTTTAAATATAAATATAAAATTCTATCAAAGTTTTAATTTTTTTAATAACTATGCATAAACATGTACATATTTATTATTTTATTAAAAAAATTACTAACATATATTTATTCACTAATTTAATAAATAAATGAGTTAAGTAGTTCATGTTTAGGTATAGACTAAGACAATTCTCGAATGATTAGATCATGGGCAAATTAAGATAAATGTTGAGTCAATTAAACAACACAACTATAAATTCTCAAGTTAACTCTTATATATTTTATTATAAAAAATACTAATATATATTTATTCACAGTTTAATAAATATATGTGTTAAGTGGTTCATACTTAGACATAAACTAAGACAATTCTCTAATAAATAGGTCATGGCCAAGTTGAGATAAATGTTGAGTTAATTAGATTATTTCACTTTTAGTGTCTAGCACAACTATAAATTCTCAATAATTTAAAATATAAATATAAAATTTTATCAAAGTTTTAATTTTTTTTAATAACTATGCATAAACATGTACATATTTATTATTTTATCATAAAACTACTAACATATATTTATTTATTTATTTAATAAATAAATGAGTTAAGTGGTTCATATTTAGCCATAAATAATTTTCTAATGATTATGTCATGGCCAAGTTCAGATAAATGTTGAGTCAATTAAATTATGTCACTTTTAGTGTCTAACACAACTATAAATGTTCAAGTCAACTCTTATATATTTTATTATAAAACATACTAACATATATTTATTCACATATTTAATAAGTAAATGAGTTAAGTGGTTCATGCTTAGGCATAAACTAAGACAATTCTCTAATAATTAGGTCATGGCCAAGTTGAGATAAATGTTGAATCAATTAGATTATGTCACTTTCAGTGTCTAGTATAACTATAAATCCTTAATAATTTTAAATTTTAATTTTTTTAATAACTATGCATAAACGTGTACATATTTATTATTTTATTATAAAAAATACTAACATATATTTATTCACCAATTTAATAAATAAATGAGTTAAATGGTACATGCTTAGGTATAGACTAATATAATTCTCTAATGATTAGGTCATAGCCAAGTTGAGATAAATGTTGAGTTGATTAGATTATGTCACTTTTAGTATTTAGTACAACTATAAATCTTCAAGCCAACTTTTATTTTTTTGTATTCGTGAATTATAGCATAGGATAAACTATAATTTTATGCCTAAGTAGACATATTTTTAAACTTTTACAAAACAGACAATGGATAGTTAATAAATTAACAAATGTAATTTATTATATGATTAGGCTATTTCTAACATAAAATAAACTAAATTACAAAATTTATAAGACAAAATACATTTATATTTCATCGTAAAAATAGTTTTTTTTTAAGTTTATTGCACTTTTTTAAAAACACATTTTATCATAGTCTATTTATTTCTTATAAATAAATTTTATATTATTATTTAATTTCAAAATTATTTTTTAATTATTTATTTAAACCCGTGAATAGCACTAGTATTATGATTTATAAAATAACTAGCGTATGCCCGTGCCTAAAAGCACGGTACAAATAATGATGAAATCAAAATGTAATTGAATATAAAATTGTTGGGTTAAAATATAATTTATCCAATTTGTCGCTAAAAATTTGAAGTCAAAATATGAATCAAGGTCTGGTTAATTTTGAAAAGATATATATATATAATTTTCAAAAAACTTGAAAATATGTTTAATTGTATATTTTAAAAATAAACATTTCCTAATCAGCTATTTAAAGTATGGCAAGTAACTCGATCATAAACATGTTGGTTTTATTGACAAACTTTATGACTCTAAAGTGTAAACTTCATATCAACACAAAAATTAAAAATAAAAGCATCCTTGCTAAGGGAAAACTAAAATGATACCCAAACTAAAATTGTGCACTGAAAGTAAATGTTGCCCAGAATTGAACCAAAGGCATAAAAAAAACCATTTCATAAAACCCCAAATAAAGATAAACCAAATAAAATAAACCTATAGAAAACACTCATTCATGGAAACCAAAATAAGAGAGAGATGATACCATTAATTGAATTTGTGTTTCTTAATTAGTTATGTCTACCCAAATAACTACTCATCCTTATCCTTCAAAAAAAAGCTTTAAAATTCCAAATGATTTATTGAACCCAAAAAACCTCCTCAAACAATTTCTCATCCTTCATCCTTCAAAAAAACCTCCTAATCTAGCAAGGATGCTTGGGATCATACACCATACAATTCAGATTCAAACTTGGGTCATCAAATGAGCTACAATTATCTTTTAGCAACTTGAGCTTGCCAAGAACTGCTAAGTTCAGCTTACAGCCCAACAACTGGAAGGAGATTATGTTACTGTTGAAAATACATTACATGTAAAACAATTCAAGATGTCTGGGGAGGAACCAAAGAAAATAGAAGCAAAGCACAATTTCTTACCATGCATCAACAAAAGGATCATTGACAGCTACAAAATATATGCCTTTGGAACAGGTCCTATTATTTCCAAAATATATGTTTAATTAGCAATGTTCGATTGTGAACATGCTCTAATCAGTAACCTGTTAGGACCTCCAAAATATATGTTTAATCAGCAATGCCTTCCAATAACAGGTCCTAACATTGCTGATAACAGGTCCTATTAATTTTTAACAAACTTCCTATGAGAGCACCATTCATCCTCAATGTAGTCCGAACCCCACTTTTTTGGCATTCAGATGTCTTTTTCTTACGATCTTACCAAGGTACAAAGTAATATAGTCAAAGAAAAACTTCCAAACAAAGTAATTCACACGTCTTCTTCTTACATTCATTACATCCACGGGCCATTAAAAAACTTAAATGGAAACAAAGTAGCGAAAGTGTGTAGTAATTTCATATCAATATCATGGGACTTTTATTACTCCCAAACAGACCTCTGTATTAGACCAACTTCTATACACCAAAACTTGCATCAATGTACACTGAAGCAATGACATCGAACACAAACAGATAATTAATCCTATAAAGTTTTACTCATCACCAATTTTGATAACAATAACAATAAAAATTGCAAAACCCAGATCATGAAAAATCGAGAATAGCTTTTGGATATTCTTTGGTGTGAAAGTTTATTAAATGACTCATAAGCTAAATCAACCTATAGCAATTTTTGTTTTGGTTGGCTGGTCAAATGCATAGTTTTCAAAGGTCATAACTTGCATTATTACACCAAAATGAGAACAAAAACCATAGATTAAACAATCAATATCACATAGTACTGGTTGGTCGTTAATTATTGTAAAATTAAGCAAGAGGGTTCACATTCACATTGTATGATACGAAAGTACAAAATGGTCCACAATGGCTAAAATAAGACACGCCAAGTTGATGATAACTTTACGAGTTGTTATTCAGAGATATAAAATTATTGATTAAAAAAGTAGTAAAAAAATGCAAAGAAGAAAAAAAAGAATTTTGTTGGTTTGGGGTGTCCTAAAAAGTGCACTTTTTGTCTTTTTATGAAAAGATATGCAGAAAAGTAGAGAGGTGATGTGATGGAAAAAAGATAAAAAAATAAAAAGATGGATTATATAGTCTATACCAAACCAGCCCTTAATGTAATATATTTTAGAGCATGTTTACATGTTTTTATATATTTTAATACACCTTTTAGTATTTACCATCTAAACACAATTGTTAGAACCTGAAGAACTAAAAATGCACATCTATGCATATGTTCATGAACTTCATGTTTTTCACCCAAAAGTTTTTTAAATTGGAATTTAAATGGCAAAATACTATCCAAACTCAAATTGATCTTGTGGTGGTATTTCATGAGCC